TGCTTCCATGCGGTCTCGAAGTTACAAATTAATTTAGGAAAGGCTGAGATTGTGCCTGTGGGGGAGGTGGAGGAGATTAAGTACTTGGCCGGTAGCTTGGGATACAATGTTGGGTCTTTCCGGATGACCTATTTGGGCCTACCATTGGGAGTTCAGTCGGGAGAGTATCTTCTTGGTACCTAGTGGTGCAGCGGTTTGAGAGGCGGTTGGTGGGCGGAAGAAACTGTTGTTAGGGGCTTATTTGTTATTACTTATATAATGTTGGGGCTTATGTGTAATTTCTTAAAATTGTTATTATAAATAGAATGTGGTGGAAGGATGAAAGTATTCTTTCATTCTTTCTCTCTTTCCCAATCTCTTTCTCTTTTTCTCTCATCTGCTTTCTTCTCTTTTTCTTCTTCTTCTTCTTTATCACTTACTCTTGATTTGATTATATTTTAAAGTCAACATAAACAATATTTATCGAATGGGGGGGCGCTTGACTTTGTTAAAGAGCACCCTTTAGAGCCTTCCTACTTATTTTATGTACCTATTTTCGATTCCAGCTTATGTGTTACAGAGGATTGTGGGGATTCAAAGGAACTTCCTATAGGATGGCATGTGAGATGATTTTACGTATCACCTTGTGGGGTGGGAAATATTTGCAAATGTATTCAGTTTGGTGGGCTGGGGGTGAGGAGGCTAGACTTGCTCAACAAAACTTTGTTGGGCAAGTGGTTGTGGAGATCGGGTAGAGAGGCAAAGGCTTTTGAGGAGAGTCATCTTCTATAGACATGTAGAAGGCAGAGGTGGGTGTTCTTTGGGTGTGGTTCCTTGCAAGGTGGGCTTGTGGAAGAGCCATCTGGAAGGGTTGGGATGAATTCTCTATGCATATTTGGTTCAAGGTGAGGAATGGGCGCCTCATTAGCTTTTGGGAGGATTCTTGGTGTGGAGAGAGGTCGCTTTAGAGGATTTTCCCGAGATTGGCTGGGATTGCGGTGGACAAGCATGCTCTAGGTGCTCATTGCTATTTTCTTGATAGCAGGAGACGAATTTGGGATGTGTAGTTTGAGATACTCTTACATGATTGGGAGATGATTGAGTTCTTAGGCTTGATTTATAGCCAACCAGTTGTTGGTGAGGGGACAGATGAGTGGCTCTGGTCGGGTACAAGCCATGTCATGAGAGGCTTGAGGTGCTATCTTTCTACTGGTGCTTGATGGTGGTCTAGGGGATATCCTTTCTGTGGAAAGGAATCTGGTTTTCCAAATCCCTGTTGAAAGTGGCATTCTTTAGTTCGACAACAACTTTGGGGAGGATATCGATGATTGACAATCTTGATGATGTTTTTGGCCTTTTGGATCTTTTGTATAGGCAAGATGTGGACAGTAGAGGGTCAGATTCATTGGTTTGGATGCTCTCTCCTCTGGGGAGGTTTGATGTTCGTTCTTTGTTCCTTTGCCTCACTGGTTTTCATGGTTCAAATTTCCCGTGGAAGAATGTTTGGCGTTCGAAGGCCCCTCTCAGGGTGGCCTTTTTTTGTTTGGACTGCGGCTTGGGGCAAGATTCAAACTCTGGACAATTTGAGAAGGAGAAGATAAATCACCTTCTTTTGTATTGCCCTGTGGCTTTTGATTGCCGGAGTCTTATTTTTGGTCTTTTTGGCATCCATTGGGTTATGCCTCTGTCTTCAAGGGAGTTGATTGACGCTTGGAGGGGCCAGGGTGGGGGCTCACGCTTGTGTCTGTTGGAGGTTGACTCCCCTTTGTGTTTGATGGAGCATTTGGAAAGAGCGAAATAAAAGATCTTTTGATGGGGAGCAACCCTCCATTGGGGCGCTGAAATTTTCTATTATTAATTCTCTTTTTAGTTGGGCCATGGGGAGAAATTGTATATATCTTTAGATGAGATTGTGGACTTTTTGGGTTCTTTGGTTCCGTAGAGCTTTATTTTGGTTTTGTTCCTTGTATATCTCTTGGGATGCTTTCCCCTTTTGAACGCTTTTTAATACTTTTTTATTTAATAAGAAAAAAAAAAAAAAAAACAGAAGAAGAAGAAGAAAGTCTATTGGTGTTTTATGTATAAGAGGGATGAGGAGTCACTGGATCATCTCCTCTTGCATTGCCCCAGAGCTAGGGAGGGATGGGACTTGTGTCTCATTTTTGGGATCCAGTGGGTCATAACGAAGGTAGCATTGAGCCGAGGCTTGGGGAGGGTGTTCAGTGCGGCTCCAAGTTACAGATGCGTGGAGTACGGCCCCACTGCGTCTTTGTGGGCTTTGTGGATGCAGAGAAATTGGAGATCTTTTGATGGGGTGGAATCTCTTTGGGGAGTTTCAGACTCTCTATACTTAGTACTCTCTTCTTTGGATTCAGGGGTCAAATTGTAAATCTTTAGAGATTCTTTTGTCTTTTGTGGATAGTTTAAGGCTATAGTTTTTTTTTTTTTTTTGTTTGTGCTGTGCCCCCGTTTGGGCGTTCTTTATTGAAATCAATCTTGTTGAAAACAAAAAGCGCCGAAGGCGCGCGCCCGAGGCGCAAGTCCTGCGCCTTTGTATGCATAAGGCGATGCCCTTTGAACAGGCGTGCGCCTTTACATAAGAGGCGAGAGGACCTGGGCGTAAAAAAGGCGCGCCTCCTTTAATTTGTTAGTATTTTGTTATTAGTTTATTATTTGCTGTTTGTTTATTATTTATTATTTGTTTATTATACTTTTTAGACAACTTTACTAAAAGAAAAGAATAAATAAAAGAAAAAGGAAAGTACAAAAGTGAAGTGAGTTGGCTAGGGCTGAGAAACTTTGAAGCAAAGAGAAAGACAGAGGCTTGCGATTTGAAGGCTTGAAGCAAAGACACGATCTGAATCTGCCGACTTTCTCTCACGAATCACAATCCGAATCCAGGTAAGTTACTGTTCTCTCCTTCTTCTCTCTTCTTTTCTCTCTCTTCGGCAGATTCTTCTCTCTTCTTCTGCAGATTCTTCTCTCTTTTTTTCTCTCTTCTTCTTCTTCTTCTTCTCTCTTTTTTTCTTCTCTCTTTTTTTCTCTCTTCTTCGGCAGATTCTTCTTCTTCTTCTTCTGCAGATTCTTCTTCTTCTTCTTCTTCTGCAGATTCTTCTTCTTCTTCTCTCTTTTTTTCTCTTCTCTTTTTTTCTTCTCTCTTTTTTTCTCTCTTCTTCGGCAGATTCTTCCCTCTTCTTCAGCAGATTCTTCTTCTTCTTCTTCTTTATAGCAAACTTTCTCTGTGCACGGTTTTTTATTTATTTATTTATTTTTTTTATGAAATATGTGTCTTCTTTTCTTTTCTCTTTTGAACTGAACTGTAAGTTTGGAACTGGACTGCAGCTCTGTGTCTTCTTTTCCCTCTTTTTTTTTTTTTTTTTTTTAATGAATTGAACTGGAAGTTTGGAACTGGACTGCAACTCTGTGTCTTCTTTTCTTTTTTTATGAACTGAACTGGAAGTTTGGAACTGGACTGCAGCTCTGTATTTTTTTTTTTTAATTGAAATGTTAATATTGCTTTGAAATTGAAATCTGGTTTTGCTAATTGACATGAAATCTGGTTTTGCTAATTGAAATCTGGTTTATTTTGTTACAACACCAATAATTGACATGAATTTATTTTGTTATCTTGAATTTGAATGTAGTTTGTACTTTAAAAGATGCCAAGTATTTTATTGTCTATGTTTGTTTTAGTTTTATCTCATAATTCTCATTAGTTGACTTTTGCATCTTTATATTATTATGTTTAATTATTTACTATTGAACTCAAGTACTTGATTTAGTTGGCTTTGGCATCTTTATGTTGAATATTCAACTTAAGTAATTGATTTAGTTGACTTTTGCATCTTTATATATAGGTTTTTTTTTTTTTTCAACGTGCGCCTTGCTTCAGTCGGGCATGCTCCTCGCCTTGCGCCTCAGGTTCCAGGAGGCCTTTGCGCTTTTGTGCGCCTTGAGCCTTTAACAACTATGTTTAACCCCGTAGATAGTGATGGTGAACGAAGTGCTGTGCCCCAATTGAGTAAGGCAATTTCGATATGTTTCGTTTGCTCATGAAACACTTGATTGAGTCGAATTAGAGCACCTCATTGTGTGCTATTTGGATAGCACTCTTGTTGTCACACAAGAGAATTGTAGGCCCAGAAAAAAGTGACTCCCATATTTTAAAGTATAACCATCGCAACAAAATAATCTCTGATTTAGGATCAGCAAGAGCCTTGAACTCGGCTTCACTAGAGCAACCACCTTTTCTTTCTTGGTCTCCAATATAGTGTATCTATTTGTTTAGATTTATATTCTTGGATCCAATTAATTCAATTGAATTTAAGTTTGGACTTCCAATTGATGAAGTATTACAGGCAAAATCAGTAGATTACAACTGTTGTTAAAAATAGGGAATTTTTTGTTAGATATAGCATAACAAGGTTTTATTGTAAAGTGATTACAACATATTAATGTATATACTATTTTTAATCCAGAAGACCTTTGTAAGCTATATGAACTCTTCATTGGAGTGATTGGAAACCCAAAAAAGTGTGATGGCCAATATAAGTTCCTTTTTCTGAGATTGAAAATTTTCTTTTAGAAATATATATTTTTTTCCTCGAACAATTTATGAAATTTAGGAGAGTAGCTTCAGAATTGATACTTTAATAACAAGTTGAAGTATGATTCTGTGGAGGAGTATTTATAAATGGGATGATATTTAAAATCACTTTTATAAACATAGATATGTAAATTTTATATCTTTTATGTATGGGAAAGATCATTGCGTATTGTTTGACTGTGCTTTGTGGTTCAAGTAAATCATTTTTGAGCAGAATTCCAAATCTGAATTTATATCTAAAAATCCTGGCAAGTGTCTATGTTGTGTAAAGCCATTTTGGATGACATTCTTTGGATGTAATTAGAGAAAATCAGCTAAGAACAAGAAAAATTATGTTGAATACCTCTGATGGTGACTCACAAGTTTTTTTTTTAAATTGACTGTTCTACTCGTTAATTTTCATATACCAAACCAGGAAGCTATAGCTGGCAAAATCAGTGTTGTCTGCGTTTCGACGGACAGCAGAAATCCACAACCCTCGGTGGAAGAACTTCAGATGGCTGATTACGTATTTTACCGTACCTTTGATGTTGGTCACTTAACAATATCGGATAAGATGGGTGACAAAGTTGCTGGCATTGAAGGTATTATTATTATATTTTTGTATCCTGAGTTTCAACTTCTACTTTGGTTTTAAATAGGTCTCCTTTGTTCTGCCCGTTTGAACTCTTACACGTCTATTGTTTCTTAAATTTTACAGTTAAGTTTATTTTTAACAGAAAAGAGTGTGAAAGGGATATCTGTGTTCCCAAACTCGATTCTGATGAGAAAGAGAATAATCTGGGTGCTGTAGCATATAATAAAAGACTACAGCTTCATGAGAAAAATCAATCTGAAGACTTTAGAACAGTGAATATAGAGGGATTTTCCAATCATTTGGAAGCAAAAGAAGACGAAGTTGTTAAAGCTTCATTGGCTAAACGGGAACTTTTGGCTGGAGAAAAGCCTGCTTCTGGTGTTGGTGTGGATTCCAATGATGTGGCTGTTAACAGCGGCAAAGGGTCAAGTGTTTCGGATCACAAAACCAAAACAAGGTGCATGGCCAATTATGATAAGGATGAGCTTAAACTGAGTGTCATTCCTGTTGATCAGGTTGATTTCAAAGAGAGAGTACAATCTGATAAGGGTTCCGATGCTTTGGACGATAAGCCTTCTAAGAAAGCAAGGGTTGGTAGTTCTGTTATATTATCTGAGGACAAGAATTTGAATAGTGATAGGAAGTTAACTATTAATAGGAATGACATGAAGCCTTTGGTAACAACTGTCAGTTCTGCTGATGGAAAAGCAAGATCTGTACTTGGTAAGGATTCTCTTGGGCTGGACAAAGGAGTAAAATCTGCGAAAGATCGTGGTGCTGTGGAAGATAGGCCTTTTAAGAAAGCAAGGGTTGATAGTTCTGTGAAATTATCCACGGACAAGAATAGAAATAATGTTCAAAGTTTGGGCGTCAATTCTGGTGGAAATTTGAGGGATTCAACCGTCACTTCTTACGAAGGAAAAGCAAAATCTAGACTTCCTAAGGATTCTATTGCGCTAGACAAGGGCCTCCCGGAAAAGCAGAAGCTCAATGAGAGGATGTCAAAGCTTTCTAACGGCAAGTTGCTAAAGGAATCTGCCGAAGTGTCTCTACATGAGGAGAAAACTGAAGGCAAGGGATTTGAAGTCAGCCGTAGACCAGATGTTGTAAGTTATATGGATTTTCTTTTGAGAACTCAACTCAACAAAGGCTTTTTCCAACTATTTTGAGTTGGCTACATTAATCTCGTTTGATTATTTCACTCTTTATGAGGTCATAACTTCCGCTAAATCACATGCTATCATATTTTACCTTATTATCTCAATATATGTTAGTTTTGGCCTTTCCTTCCTCCACATTATTCTCATTGTGGACCTAAGTACTCTTCCATATAAGTGCATTTATTAGGTCTTCGCTATTCATGGTCAAACCGTCTTACTCAATTTTCTCTCTTTTTATCTCCAATAAGTACCTCCTTAAAGTGTATCATGAATGCATTTATTTCTAATTTATACTTTCCTCTAAAGCACATATTTGGGCACGAGTACGACACGATACAAGCATAGTGCTACAACAAATATTTTGACACGACATGCATACGCCATTAAAATAATAATGGAGTATGTTATTGTATATATAAAAAATAAGGACGGGCCTCGGCACAAGAGTAAGGTTGCTCCATTGTGACCTGGAGGTCACGATTCTGAAATAAGAAAACAGCCTCTCCACAAGCGGAGGTAAGGTTGTGTACACTTGACCCTCCCCAGATCTTGCAATGGCGGGAGGCTCGTGATAATTGAAAAATGATTTTTTTCTCATTTTATCTCGAGTATCATGAATGGTGATTTGGAGCGAAGAGCTGGATGGATGGATCTTTCTATTTTCCAAAACTTTATATTATTTTTCTATTAACCTTAATATGTTTTAGAATTGCATTGGAACCCCATTTTTTTTTTTTAATAATTACAAAACTCTCTTGTCATGTCCCGAAAGTGTCCTTAACGTGTTCTCGTCATGTCCACGTTGTGTTCACGCTTTGATCTTGTTGTGTCCAACTAGGAAGAAAGAATATCCAAACTCCAAGATCCTAGCCTAAGAAGCATGGATACGGATACCAGACATGGACACGATATGACACGGATGCACTTACACGTGAAATAATAAAATTTGTTTTTAAATAGTGGGCACGACCATGAAGTGTTGGACACGTGTCTAGGAGTGTCCATGGAGTGACGGTGTCACACGGTGTTGGACACGGACACGACACCTCATAGAAGTGTCCATGCTTCTAAGCTCCTAACCGTGTCGAGCTTGTATTCGCCGTCTCTGATATCACAGTGACACCCCCTAGAGGAGTGTTCTGTACTTCTTTAATCCTTTCTTTTCTTGCTACACATACATCTTAACATGCTCATATTAAAAATAAAATTACTTTTTTAGTCACATGAAGTATGGTTAGTCTAATACTTTTTTGTTTATAATAATAGAATTAATTTTCAATTCAAGAGGCATACGTCGATTACACAATAAACCAACAAAATTTCTCCTTTCAACACTTTCATCTTTAATTGTACGATAAATTATATATGATTTTTCCCTTTAGTTGAATTAAGGTAATCGAAAATTTCTTTTTTGGTATTTGTTGACCTTTAATCATAATTACATCCCCGCTTGTATTTTTAGCTTTGCTAAATTTTCATTCCATATGTTTAATTTTATTTTTACTTCTTTTAAATTCCCTTTATCTAGAATTCAATCCTTTAATTTAGCAGTTATTATTGTTATAGTTTTTGTTAAATATCATCAACAAATTGCAAAAAAGAGTGTTATATTGAGTTCAATTTGTTAATTTATTTATAGCTAAGACAAAAATATATGGTCTTAATGGTGTCTAGTAGTTAAAACTTTACATGTTTCTCCCATACTTGTTCATAATATGATAACAAACTTTCCATATTTGAATGTGTATCTGTTAAAGTGAAGTGAAGGATATATGTGTGGCGACCTTGCGGGCGGATGTGTGTGAGCGCGTGTAAGTGGCACTAGGGGAGCTACAGGTGCACAATCCCACATCGCCTGGGTGTGGATGGGGGCAAGTGCTATATGTAGATTCTACACCCTTCTATGACACAACGCGTTTTAAAGCCGTGATGGTCATGAACCCATCAGAACTCTGGAGTTAAGTGTGCTTAACTTGGAGTAGTACCAGGATGGGTGACCCATGGGAAGTGTCTGGTTTGAGGGAGCCAAAAACAGACAATATTATGTCTGGATAGGGTGGGGGTTGTTACAATACGTCAATATACCACTTTACTGGCTGTTATCAATCAACTCAGAAGTGAGATTAATTGAAGAGGTTTGATTATCATTTTGAAAAGAACAAGACCCTAAATAAAATAAACAATTAAATTAAACTTAAAATAAATTTACCAACTATGAAGGCTACTAATCTGGTAATTGCTTGATTACACGCACTTATGTTGATCGATACTAATATGATAATCACGTCTGATGCATAAATAAAGTTTAGAGAAGTGCACACTAGATTTATGTGAAAAAACTCCTCATCGGGATAAAAAAACAACAGGACTTGGTCCGGCCAAACAATCCACTATAAAGAAAGAGATTGTAAAGCAATTTAAAGTGCAACAAAGATAAATGAAGTTTAGAGATGTGCATGTCATATTTATGTGGAAAAACCCCTCATCGGGATAAAAAAACCACGGGACTTGGTTCGACCAAACAAATCATGGGAAAGAAAGAGATTACAACTAGATCTGTTCAACCCATAAACTCTAGTTAACCTATACTGTAACAACTCTCACCTAACCCACACACAATATTGTCCGCTTTTGGCTCTCTGGACCAGAGACTTCCTAGGGGTCACCCATCTTGGTACTACTCATGAGTAAGCACGCCTAACTTTGGAGTTCTCAAGGCCATCATTGCTTTAAAACGCGTTGTGTCATATAAAGGTGTTAAACCTACATATAGCACTCCGCCTTTCCTAGGCGATGTGAGATCATGACACCCTGTAGCCTGCCAGTGTGGTAGCTTGCCTAGTGTCTCACATGTGCCCACATCACATCCGCCCACAAAGGTCGTCACAATCACCCCTGTGGGGGCCTAATGTTCTCGTTGGCCACACTTTCGGCTCTAATACCATTTGTAACAACCCTCACCCTACTCAGACACATTATTGTCTGCTTTTGTCGCTCCCGGAACAGACTTCCCAAGAGGTTACCCATCTTGGTATTATTCCAGAGTAGATGAGTTCACGGCTATTACGGCTTTAAAACGTGTTGTGTCATAGCAGGGTGTTGAGCCTACATATATAACTTCCTCTTTCCCTACCGATGTGGGATTATGACACTGCAGCCTGCCAGTGTGGTAGCTCGTCCAATGTCTTGCACACGCCCACAAAGGTCGTCATATATAGACTAAACAAGACACTAAATCTTCACACCCAGAAGATTTTTCAGGTTGCCCTCCAGCCAATCCATCTAACAATCCAAATCCCATTGAATCCACTTAATCGCATCGAGCTCTGCTTCACCTCAAACTCTTTCCAGCACCAATCTATCCCATTCATATTTTTTGGTTTTGGAGTTTTACACTCAGTGCGAGTGTTGATGCTGAAGTTGTTAGCACAGTACCGCAGTAATTTTATGAACACTAAAGTAACATCATAATCACCAAGTCTAATGTAGATGATATGGATGATGAAGGATAAATAGGAATGAACCTATCTATATGCCAGACATCACACAAGATGGAACTCTCACATAGAACTTCTCGTGGATAAACTAACAAATGAAAGATTGAAAAAGCTTCAATGTGAATCTCACGGCTTTTCCTAACTCTCTGGCTATGCGGTATACGTCACACCTCTAGGGTTTTGTTAAGACTCATATTTATGGAGAAACATACTTGTTCCCCAAGCATACACGACTTGATATTCAAGAAAATCAGTTTAGGGAACAAATCATGAGTTCCTTATTCCATTGGATCGATACTTATAGACCTGCGATCGATCCATGATATACTTACTTCGATCGTTACTTGTTCAGCTACTTACATAGCTCCGATCGATCAATACATTCCAGTCTTCGATCGAGACTAGTCATGATCACTGCGATCAATATATTCATAACTATGATCGATTGATATGTTTCAGACGTTGATCGAGATGTATATGTAATTCTAAAAATGTTTTTAGAATTTTTTTCTTCTCAATGCACAAGCAATGTCAAAATTTTAGCAACCTACAACGTAGCAAATATCGCACGAATGCATGTTTGGAGAAATTTTTCTTGATGCACAAGGACTTGCTTAAGTTTTGAAACCTTAGAGACTTAGCTTATATAACCTAAAGCATGCACAAACTAATCTTCCAATTACGTATTAAGAAATGATATGTATAAAAGAAAAAGCTCTAGAATCTTAATCTTAACGTATATAATAAATAGCAATGTGTTAAGAACATATTTTCCTAATTTTTGAATATAGGTGGAAAAAATTAAACACACTTGGGTTCTACATGCAATTTTTAAATTAAGAACATTTAAGACATGTATGTATGAACCTAGATGGTTATAGATGATAACAAGTGTGATTTTTAGCTTTTTAGCCTTCAACTTGAGAAGATGACATCTTTGACCTTTGTAGATGATCTTAGACCTTTATGCCCTTTTGATGTAGCTTTCTTCAACAAGTGTATCTTCACACTAATTTCATCTGACTACCTATTTCTAATTCACTCACTAAAAATATAAATGTTACAATTCATTGAGTGAGTTTTGTTTTATGAAATTTACCAATAACATTACCAGGATCTTAATAATCCTAATGGTATCTTTGCAATTCATTATATATATATTTTAAAACACTCAATATTATATCTATAGTTTATACCAAGAGCTTTCCCCAAATCTATAGATTCTTCTCATGTCTCACTAGGTAGCTTCTTGTGTAAGTTTATGATTTTCCTACTTGTTATAAATCCATATTTGTTTTCCTACACAGTAGTTGCATGTTTTCTCATTCAATTAATCTCTTCTTAAGTTCCATAGCATGACTTATTAATTTGATACCATTCATGATCATTGTGATCATCATTCTTGCCTTTTTCTTACTTGAATGAGGTTGATAACATAATTTTTTCCCC